CGCTGCCCATCTCTCGGAGCGCTGCCGCTGCGGGGGGACGCGGAGGGCAAACCCGGGAACGCTGGGATGCCATTCCCGCTTTGTGGGGGTAGGGAGCAGCATTCCCAAGGCCCTCCCGGCGCGTTGCCGTCACGAGGGCCTGGCCCGGGCTCTCCCGGGTCAGCGCTAAGGCCTCCCTCCCCCTTGCGCAGGCAGCTGTAAGTACTTAATATCTTGGACATCTCTAGTACTTTGTCAAAGCTGGTTCAAGCCGGCCAGGAAGGCCCAAGTTATTTAGGGAATAAAAAGGGAAGTTCAGAGAAGTACAAACCGTGCTGTTGCTTAAGCCTAGTTTCCCTAGAAAAAAAAAAAAAAAGGCACATTTACTTCCTTGTTCCCTGTCCGGGGGATGGGCCCGAGCACTCAGGCTCTGCAAGGGGGACACGGTGCCCGGCCAACGTGGGAGCCTTTTGTGGTGGAACAAGGACCCGGGAGACACGGGACGGTGACCGGGCCGGTCCCCATCTCCTGCGAGGGAGCCTGGAGGAGGCTCAGAGGATCCTTACCAACACCCAGCAACAGCCAACAACACACAGGAACACCTAGCAACACCCAGCGCGAGGGTGTGAAGACACAGCCGGACTTTCCCAACGGTGTCGTCACAGGACGAGAGGCAACGGGTGCGAATTGACGCACAGGAAAGGGAAGAGCATAAAACACTTTGCTGCGAGCTGTGCTGCGACACGTTGCCCGGAGGGGTTTGTGGAGTCTCCATCCTTGGAGATGCTCAAAACCCACCTGATCTTGGGCACCCTGCTCTACCTGGCCCTGCCCAGATGTCTCCAGAGGTCCCTTCCAACTCAGCTACTCTGTGATTCTGTCAGGCTTGGCCCTGCTGCTCCTACATACCAGCTAGTCCATAATGTCCCTGCAAAGAAGGGAGCACAAAACCAGAGCCTGGTTGCTGGGAAAACTCCAGGGCCCTCTCTTCTCCTTGTGCAGAGCCTCAGCCTGGTGGCTCTTTCCTGGGAAGGATTTGGGAAGAGCCGCAGCTGCCGAGCTGTGCAGCTGGGTGTGCTGAACCTCCCATTCCGAGACTGCCCGAGAAAGATCCCTGGGAGCTCTGGGATCTCACTTGGGAAATCCTCCATCCCTGGGCATACCTGAGGGTATTTCCAAACTTCCTGAGTTTAAGCCTCCAGACTGGAGCCCATTCCCTTCAGTGGACAGCGAACCATCAAGCTGCAGAGCCCTCCAGACACCCGCTCTGCCCATGCCATGAGCTGGGGGGGAAGTTCTGCTTCCCATCCCCGGAGGAGATCCCCTCGTAGAGAGCTGGGGCTGAAACCCCGTGGCGTGCACAGCTTTCCCAACAGGGTTTGGGGCTTGGAAAACACCAGACTAACAGAGCACAGGGTATCCCGGGGCTTCAGACTGCGCTCACACTCTCAGAGCTGCTGCTTCTGAGCATGACAGCACACACACCGTGGGGCTGTGACAACACGAGGACACGGTGTTCTCTGCTGGTGCATGCCCTCGGCGTTACAGGCTCTTACACACAGCTATAATTTGAACACGGCTGGCAAACATGGGAACAAGTAACACCATCAGAATTCTTATTACATTAAAATAGCATCCGTTACACTTGGGCCTGCTGGCTACGTCTGCAAGTAAACAGGAATCTCACGGCTTGCGTGAGCGAGACCGTCGACAGGAAACGCACCGAGACTCACCCCGAATTTCATCTACCCACAGCTCCCGCGAGGCGGAACCCAGTCCCAAATGTGCAGGGAGCCATCGCTTGCTGCTGACAACAAAGTTCTTGGTTTCTGCAGGTGCCACGTGTGCGCTGTGACCACGGGAGGGCCTTCGCCGGCGTCCAGTCCGCCAAACGCGTGGCCTTTGTGGACAAAGAGCGGCTCTGCTTCCCTGCCGGAGCCATCCCAGCTCCGCGTCTCGTACACGTGAACGGTCCCGTCAAAACCTCGAGGCAAAGGGAGTCAGAGAGAGCAAAGTCATTGCCAGTTGCTCACGCTACCCCGTGGGCTCCCACTGCCCTTCCCTGCTGAGGGAAAGGGGGACAAAAGCCCAGATCCAAGGGCCGGGAGAGCAGAGGGTCCGAGCCTCTGAGGACCATGGCTTGGAAGTTGGTCTCTGCCAAATTTGGGGAGAAAGCCAATGCCAAAAGCTGGGGCAGGAGTCCTCCTAACCGGGGGCCTCCACAGGGTGTTTGAATCATAGAATCATAGAATGACAGAATGGTCAAGGTTGGAAGGGATCTCTAGGGATCATCTAGTCCAACCCCCCTGCACACGCAGGGTCACCTAGAGCACGTGGCACAGGACTGCGTCCAAGCGGGTTTGAAGATCTCCAGAGAAGGAGACTCCACAACCTCTCTGGGCAGCCTGTTCCAGTGCTCTGGCACCCTCAGTGGGGGTCTTGGCGCAAGGAGCAGACAGAACCCAGGAAAGGGGCACCCAAACCAGGTACCTGAAACAGCAATGCAGCCTTCCAGCGCAGGAGCCCACGAGACGGCCAGGAACTCCGCGCTCGAGCCGGGGGAGGAAACGCTGCACCTGGCGCAGGCCACGGGCTCCGAGACCTTCCTCAGGTCCGTCAGGGCGAGCTGCCCCCCGCTCGAGAGGCGAGCCACGGGCTGGGAGTTGGGGGGTCCGTGCCCGACCCCCATGCACCAGCGTTGGCCGCCCGCGGGCCCCGGCGCAGCCTCCAAGGGGCCCTGCGGCTGCCGCGTGTCTGCCAGGCACAGCTGCCCCTTGGAGCAGCACACGAGCAGCGTGTTGCAGTCCAGGAAGGCCACAGCGCTGAGCTCCTCGCTGCTCCGGGAGCCTGAGGAAAGGAGAGGTGCAGTTTAGGTGCCGCGAGAAGTATTTCCAGAACGGGCTTCTGCTACAGTCCGGCCCAAGGAAGCAGATGTTGAGCCTTGTCCCTAGAAGTGGCTTTCAAACGATTCTTAGTTAGTTCTGCACACAGGGCCAGCAGCACAGATCAGGAATGGGTGGATGACAAGTTGACCATGAGGCAGCAGTGTGTCCTCTTGGTCAAGAAGGCCAATGGGATCCTGGGGTGCATTGAGAAGAGCCTCTCCAGCAGGTCGAGGGGATCCTGCCCCTCTACTCAGCCCTGGTGAGGCCACATCTGGAGTATTGTGTCCAGTTCTGGGCTCCACAGGACAAGAGGGATGTGGAGCTGCTGGAGAGAGTCCAGCGCAGGGCCACAAGGATGATCAGGGGCCTGGAACATCTGCCCTATGAGGAGAGGCTGAGGGAGCTGGGCCTGTTCAGCCTGGAGAAGAGAAGGCTGAGAGGGGACCTGAGCAGTGTCTAAAAGTGCCTCAAGGGAGGAAAAATTCCTTCCCAAGGAGGGTGCCAGAGCACTGGAACAGGCTGCCCAGAGAGGTTGTGGAGTCTCCTTCTCTGGAGATCTTCAAACCCGCTTGGACGCAGTCCTGTGCCACGTGCTCTAGGTGACCCTGTGTGTGCAGGGGGTTGGACTAGATGACCTCGAGAGGTCCCTTCCAACCTTGAGCATTCTGTGATTCTATGATTTGCCACTCGAGGAGCTGCAGCCTTGCCTTCCTCAAACCCCATCTTCCTGAGCACAGGTAAGGCTGGGTTTTGTGTACCTGATACGTAGACGTTTTTCTTGGATTCCACCTCTGTAATCTGGACGTTGTTGAGCCTTGAGCCATGAAGAACCCACGGGGCTCGGCTGGAAGTTGCTGCAATTTTAGCCCAAGGTTGTCCGGTGCCATTTTCGGTAGAAATGGCACTTACGGATTTAATAACATCTACATGGAAGACAGAGATAAGCAGTAAAATAGGTCAGGACACAAGTAACCTATTTTTGCACAAAGATGCATCACACAGCCCCCAGTGAGCCTCTAAACCAGTACAAAATGAAATCATGACTAACCTCCTCCCCAGACAAAAGCTGCTCTTCCCAACATACCAAGCAAGGATAGATAACAAGCCATTTAAAATGCGGCAAATTCTATGGAAAGCTACGGAGTAGGAAATTTACTTTCAATTAAAAAGAATTAATTTACTCCTAATAACATTTTGCACATCCTTTCTGATGGCTTCAAAGCATTTTACAAGAGCAGATAAAGCAACATTAACACTTTTCCAGAAGCAGCAAACAAGAGACTTGGAGAAGGGAGGCCATTCATGGTACCTTCCCAGGGCTGATGTATGGGACTATTTTTTACCCTGAGAATTATTGAGCCAATATTGTGGCAATTTTATGATTAGAAGTTTTGTTTATATGAGCAAAACGATCACAAATAAGAGCAAAGAGTGGAAAGCTACTAAATCCACTAATCCCCTGAGGAGCAGACATAGGTTAAGCATGAAGTCTGTGTCTTTCCAGACTCGAAGAGAATCCATGAAGATAGTTGTCTCTGTGCTCTTCTCCAGCCATTCCTGAGCAAGGGCAGTCACCCAAAGCAGAGTGAGGCATTCCCGGGATTTCACCGATTCCTCTCCTCATTTTATCCCCGGGAAGCAGAGGGACTGGCAGGGAGTGTAGCTCGTGGTGCTACAAAGACTGCAGTGAGAAGCTACTTGAGTGCAGAAACGTGTTCCCTTACCAGAGTCCTCTGCTGACACCTGCCACACCTGGAGGGAGCTGTCTGGGGGGCCACTTGTCACCAACAAGCTGAGGAAACAAGAAAAGCAGCACAGGTTCTTCAGGAGCAGAGAACAGCCTCCTTCTCCGGCCTGGGATGCACCAGGGTTGGGCACGGTTGTGTTCTGGCCACGGCTACCATGCTCAGGAGCTCGTGCTTGGAGCAGACAGGAAGCCATAAGGACAGTGATTTCAGAATTCCTCACTCCAGGACACCCTGCACAGCCCAGGTAAGTGCGATCACAGGCAACAGCATTTGACTAGAACAGCATGAGATTAACAACAGCTTCATAGGGAGAAGTGCACCATGGCAGGAGGAAAGAGAAAAACTACTGAAGTGGACCAGGCAGAGCATTGGCAAGATCTTCAAATAATAGCAGGAAAAATCTTCTGGCCCTGCATGTGCAAGAAGTTAGAGTGGCCACAGCAGCCGCTCTGCGAGCCAAGCACCAAGCCCTGTGGAGCCACCAAAGGTGCTCGGCTCCACGGAGCTCCCAACGGAGAAGGGAAGGGAAAGGCAGCGTGGGAAGCTCTACCTGGTGTCTGGCACGTGCTTCAGGCTGTACACGGGGCGGTTCGAAAATCCACCACATTCCACCTTGAAATCTCTTTCTGGACACAGACCCTAGAAAGCAGAGGCAGATGGAGTCATCACTTCTGAGGATGCACAGCTCAGCGTGGCCACTCGCCCCACAAAAGGCAGCAACGGGGAGAAGGCAACACCTCTCGGGGTGAAGCTCTCGCCTCTCCACTGCTGCTCTTTTAAACAGTAAGATTGACAAAATGCAAAATAGTTAAAAAGATATGAAAAAAAATGCTGAGAAAGGCACTGCCAAGAGCTCTGCTGTCCGAGTTTCACTCGAAGGGGCAGAGAAGTCCACAGTGCAAAAGCACCGTGAAAAATAGACATTGTGTTGCCTGCCACGGGTGCATGGAGATGCCAGCTGTGCCCCGAGAACCCTGGGGGTGAAGCAGCACTCACCAGTGAGGTTTCACAGAATCCCAGAATGGTTGGGGTTGGAAGGGATCTCTTGAGATCCCCCCGTGCAGCCCCTGCTCCAGCAGGGACACCCAGAGCACGGGGCACCCGGGCGCATCCAGGCGGGTTGGAGATCTCCAGAGCAGGAGACTCCACAGCCTCTCCGTGCAGCCTGCTCAGAGATGCAACACGCAGCTAGAGCCAGAGCAAGTCTAAAACCAGCAGCTACTGAGGCTACTGCAGCTCAAGGTGATTCAGGCTGAACAGAAGCGAAGCAAGAACGGTTCAATAAATCAGTTAAGCCAAGGGGCTGAGGTAACTTACACCCGGGGCCTCCTTCGCCTCTGCTTTCGGTTCCTTCGTCGTGCTGGGGGGTTTGGCGGCCGCTTTTGCTGCGAACATCCCCATGATGCCCTTAGGCTGCTGCGAGGGCTGCTTGGCCGCGGCCGGGCCGTGCCCGTTGAGCGCGGGCGCCGCGGTGGCGCT